GTTATTTACGAAAGTTTATTGTTTTAATTGTGGAATGTAGTATTTTATGGAAATTAAGTGTAAACAAGTTTTGATTACCATTTGAATTATTTTTGGGTCTTTGTGGAATATATGTTTGAGAGTTTATCTTCTATAGTATGAATAAATATTTGGGAAAATTGAATTAAGGAAGGGAATATTAATTTTATAATATTTATATAAGGGTTATAAACCTCACCATCATATGTACCTTCTCTGATCATTATACCCACACGCGGCGTTGGATTTTTCGGCGTGTGGTAAAGAACCCGGACATATTTGATATTAGTTGCTTTCCACATTTGATGCGAAAATTGACCTTTAGCTTCGGAGAATCTGCGTTGCTAAAGGTACCCAAGAACTAAAGTATTGGGAACCGATGCATATGATATATTTATACGCTTCGGACATTCCCCGTCGATAAAGATGATTTACAACTTCGCTCTTCACTTAATTGCTGATGCTTAAGTTGTTACCATATGCCAAAAAGAGCGTTGACCTCCGATGCCTAAACCTTTAATAGCATCAAGGAATGAGAATATATCAGCACTGATGCTAAATACTCTTTATAGCATCAATGGTTTTGTTTATACTGAAACGTGTGTTGACTTACCACTTCAGCAAATATGCCACTGCTGTTGCAAATTATGGTTTACGCATTCGTTTTTTGTACTTATGCTGAAGTGAAAAACCAACAAATAGTTTGACTTTCTACAAATATTATTGACCTTTCAAATTATAAGCTTCGGTTCCTAGAGAGTGTTGATGTTGTTTTTAATTTTTAACTTCAGTTGTTATGGCAAAACTGAGGTTGTTATACACAAGAGACATCCTTGTTACTAATAAAGTGTAAGCAATTTTCCACATTTCACATCATATTTTACTTAGTTTCTGTCTCAAAATATAGAGGCATCTCATCCAATTCATACATATTGCCATTGCAACAGAAAAAAAACATCCCTGTATATGTAAACTTATGAGTTCTGCCAGTAAACCAAAATCCATACATCATCCATACATAAATAAGCAAAATACTACAAAAACAAGGAGAATGTTCAAACTCAAATCCACTCTAGCACATGACATGCCCATTCATCTCGAACCTCGTCCAATTCCATTTGGGTGTAAAATGCCTTCTTTTTCCCACTTCTCGCATACTTAAATGAAATGAAAAGACCATATAAGATTAAGAAAAACTATATAAAATCTTTACCAAGAAGCTATGCACAATCTTTAACAAGAAGCTAAAGAAAAACTATATAAAATCTTTAACAAGAAGCGATGCACAATAAGGTTTTATATTTAACATTCATCCACACACAAAAAAAAGTCACCTCAAAGCTGGAAACATTGCCAGAGCCGGAAAGGAACAACATCAAACAAAGGAATCAAAAAAATTTGGTATTTCAATTGAACCCAATCATTCAATCCTTAACAGACTCAAAAAAAATGAAGCTGTATATAATTTGTACAAGTACCTTAGTTCGAAATGCCAATCACACAATAATCTTCACAAATTTCCTTTATGTACCCATCACACAATAACCACACGTCTTTCCATTAGCTTGTTTGGGAGCACCCTACATTATGGACAAAACACATTCAACATTTAGTACTTACGTTCCCTAAAATTAATCTTACTAGATTGTCAAATACACACATACCGAAAGCATAATCCATGTTGGTGGTCTATGCAGGCCTCTCCCCTTTTCAGCATTGAATTGTTTAATTCCACTTTAGCACAAAAATAACATAAGATTTAAGGCTGTAATACAAATGAAAAAGTTGACATATTAAGGAAATAATTAAAACAGAACGACTTATGCATTTACAATATGTTTCCACACTTCATGAGGGTGACAAGCCCCATGAGGATCCATGATATACACATTGTCTTTCTATTCGTCAATGATTGTAAGGATCTAATGACCCCTACATATTAATTGGAAATATATTAGTAATTGTCATAAATATATATTCTAAAAAACAAACCGCTTTACTTACCCAGGATTGTATGGGATCAAAAAGATGCTATCAATACTAGCTTGGTTAAAAGCTTTCACAATGTATTGAACCCTCCCTGCCTCATCCGATGACTTCGGATAATGAAAGGTACGACTTGGGTCCATAAATGCAATCATTGGTTCCCATTCTTGGTCTTTTACCAACTTAAATAAATAGTTGTTAACCATTATCATAGAGTCAGTAAACTGAAATACATGATTAATATCCAAATATAAACGTAAAATTATAAAACACCAAGTGACTATTACCTAATGTAAGCGGTTATTACAGCTTGTCCTATTTCATTCATTTGAATGAAGCTGATAACATCTTCTTTTTAGGACATATATCATCTTTTCTACCCCAAATATGTCCTCATCAATATATGAAGCGAGAGTCTGACCTTGGGACATCAGTTTCTGTGCAAAGCCATATAAAATCTTGCAAGACTTTGGTACTATTTCCGGGATAGACTGAAACAATGACTTTGCTAATTTTTCCTTTGTAGTTTTCTTTTTCTTCTCCTATCACATATACCAAAAGGTTGGTATATATTAGGGATAATATGAAATAAAACAAGTTCAAAAGTAAGGTTGCTTACCACTACATCGTCTATAAAAACTATAAGATCCTCTGGCCAAGCTACTTGAGATCCAATAGCATCCTCAACAGTATTCAACACTCCTTTCACTGGTATTGGTAGTGGAGAAGCTCCATTTATGGCATAATTAATAGAGACTCTTATATTTTCCTTTCCTCAAGGAACATTATGAAGCAATTGTTGAGGCACATTGATGTCAACAATTGTGCCACCTGCAACAATATTGTCCTTTGAACCGAAAGCCAATTTGCAATCCTTACCCTAATACACATATAAAAGACATGTAAACAAAAAAAATAACAATTAAGCATACCTTAGCCTTAAACTAAATTAAGCATATGCATATTATAAAACTAAATGAAATTCAGCAAGAAATATTCAGTCTTAATACTGCAATATTAATAAGTGCATAATATTAAAGTAAATTCAAATAAACATTACCTTGTTCGCCTCAACTTTAGTTTGCTCCACCACATCATCACAACCATCCTCACAAACTTCTTTACCAGCAGCAACTTCTGTAATTTTTGATGGTGTGTTTGTTGATGCTTTCTCAGACATGTGAGAAATATTTGGAATATGGGGTGAGTTAGATACATTACAAGGTTGACCGGAAATCGCCACCTTCAGCATCTCTATTTGCTTTTGAAGAAGTTTTTGCACAGCTTTGTGCTTTTTCTATTGTTCTTCCATCATCTTTTTTGTCTCTTGCAGCAAAACATCTCGTTCTTTCACCATTCCCTTTGACACACACTCCCTCTTTTTCCTAGGAACGTTGAAGAATGCATTTGGCTTCACAAAGCCTCCCACACCCCTCACCCTTCCACCATGTTCAGGGGTCCCCAATGCCATAGCTAAGACATCATTATAACCAGATACGGTTATAAGGCCTTCTTCTTTCTCCTTCAATAATTTTTCCTAATTTAGAAAGATACACACACACACACACACACACATATATATATTTGAAAGATATAATTTTGTTTTACAATTGACTGATTTTTTTTTACATATATACTTACAATTGTTCCAACCAATTCAACTACCTCCTCATCAAATTCTTATCTTCACGTGCTACCTTCCATAGAAGAGCTCAATCTACTTCCTCATCCTTTGCCACTATCTTCTTATCTACCTATTCAAGATAAACCAAAGTTAGCACAAAGCAATTTACTCCTACTGACCCAACTATATACAGATTGTCGATATATATACTTACTAATTCTTCTACCACTCCAATATATCCTTTATAGCCAGTTCTATGATGATATTTACATTTATTGTGCCTCTCCTTTTGGAGTTTATGGATTTCCTACATTATAAACAACAAGTTTATGTCATATTTACAAATCTATGAAAGTTTGTGTCATATTTACAGTTATATGATGGTATTTACAAATCTGATCATACCTGCCAATTTTCACTCAATCTAGAGATTATAGAACTTTGCCAATCTGATAATTCAATGAAGTCATACATTTCAGGAGGCTCCTTCAAGGCTTCTAGGTCATTTCTATGTGGAAGTACGTACTCCTTTGTTAATGTACTCTTGAATTGCCTCCATTTGGTTGAAGCAGATTGCAATGTAGGTTGTTTGCTTTCAGGTAGTAATTCAAACACGGACTGCACCAAGAATGAAATAAATAAGGAATCTTGATCTTATGAGAAATGATTAAAATAAGTATAAAAGAGTTATTCAATATACGTAAATTAAAATTACCGTTATTTTTGTCCAGATTTTCTCCTTCAAATGGTCATCTGCTGCTGGCCAACTGCTTATATGAATAAGGATTATGGTTCGAGCCATTACACTTGTGTATGATGCATATTGTTTGCCCACCTTCCCCATTGGTTCTCCTTTTGGGCTAAACTCAACTACTAACTTTTTCCCTTTCTTTTTTTCTTTTGAATTTTATGCATTTCTGTTGGACCACGCTTTCTTTTAGCTTCACTCATGGTGGTAATAGTTGTTTCTGATGAAGAAGCTTCATTTGACTGGGGTATATTCGAGTGGTTCTTCGATTTCTCTTTTGAGGGTTTCACCGGAATCTTCTTTGGTGAACCCATAGAAAGATTGATTAAGGCAAACCTAAACACCCAAAAGCAAAACATTATTAGTGAATTGTATATATGCACCAATATGGACAGATTATATATGAACCGATAACAAGATAGATTAAGACAGATTGTAATGGAAACAATTAATTCATGTAAACAAATTATAACACCAAATTACAAACTGGAAATTTATAATGACACAGTTTACAGTAAAAAAAATTCAAATTATAAATGCATTCTAATATGATGTCAAGAAAGAAAATTCTTTCATAAGAAAATGGAGCAGTACTTTTAGAATTCCACACACATAAACCAACATCTATGCTCTTGTTTTTCGATTAGTGACCCATATACCCTCGCAATCTGTTTGAATGTACTTCGTATCTCCCTCACCCAATTCATATTTAAATTCTTCAACCAGTGGTAGTCCATTGGTAAATGATTGGTGTTCAAGTACATCATCTTCTAACTCATCACCATGAACATAGACTCTATTCGGCATTGGAAGCACAATTGACCAGGCATTGTGTTCAGGGTCATCAATGTAAAATACTTGACTCACGTGAGTGGCCATAACAAATTCATCCTTTCTATAACCTCTCCTATTAAGGTTTACCATAGTCAACCTGGTGTCATCGTCATATTTGATACCTTTCTCATTCTCAACCCATGCACACTTAAAGAAAGGCACCTGAAACTGATGATAATTAAGCTCCCATATTTTTTCAATAACCCCATAAAATTTCATATTTGAAACAATTGGATTTTTATCCTTTGCACTCGAAACTTGCATAGTACTTGGTACCGAGCAAACCCTACTATTTTGGACAGCATGCTCATTGTCTCGTGCTTCGGTATGGTATCGATATCCATTTATGGCATAACCGTTATATTTAATAACTCCTTTTTGAGGTCCTGGAGCCAACCACTTTACGGTGTCTGTCATCACATTCATATTCATGCATAATTGACACCCACCTAGGATAATAAAATAGAATAAATTTGTTTGTCGTATCAATTAAATATGTTCAACACAAATTAGTACTATAAACACAACTGACCCTATGATGAAACAAGCTAATAAACCATCGGTTGTGCATGTCTTGTATCCATTTTTCATCTTTTGCTTTCCTAGGATTAGTCTCCTTCAAATGGTGCTTATGTTCACTGTAAAACATTACAATGCATAAATAATAATTTTGTTATTAAGCTGACTTAATAACAAAAAAAAAAAAAAAAAAAAAAAAAAAACAGTAGAGTTGTTTTCAAAGATAACTTACTTTATGTAAGGATCAACTTCCATTATATTATCCAAGATAGCTCGATGTGCTTGCTTCCATTTGTCATGCCGCATTGGTTCTATAACAATGCTTGATAAAGTAGTGCTAGTATTTGCTAGATCTAACCACGATATAGGTACCCCAATTGCACTTAAATCAGCCATGTACTCTGAGCAAAACTGTATAGATTCTTCCACATGGAAGCGATTAGCAGTGCAACCCTCCGAATACACATGATTGTGTACATAACCCTTTAATACCTCATGTATCTTTCAAAAGGGTACATCTATCTTTAAAAAAACTGGTCCACACAAACAAACCTCTTTAATAAGGTGCACAATTAGATGGACCATTATATCAAAGAAAGATGGAGGAAAAAATTGCTCAAGCAAACACAATGTTGCCACAAGGCCCGATTGTATCTTATCAAGGTTAGGTACATCCACCACTTTCTTACATAAATCCTCCAAGAAGAAACAAAATCTCGGTATTGCATATCTAACATGTCTAGGCAACACACCACGTATAACCATGGGTAGCAATTGTTGCATCAGTACGTGGCAATCATGTGACTTAAGACCAAGTAGTTTCAACTCTTTCATGCATACAACGTTTCTTATGGTTGAAGAGTAGCCTCCGGGCACTTTAATACCCATCAATGCTTTGCAAATTGAAATTTTCTCCTACTTATTCAATGTACACATTGATGGAGGCAAAAAAGTTCTCTTCTCCCCAACTTGTGGTGCCAAACCAATTCTTACCTCCAATTTAACAAGATCCTCACGAGCTACCACACCATCTTTTGTTTTCCCGGGAATGTTCAACAATGTACCGAAAATACTCTCACATACATTCTTCTCAATGTGCATAACATTGAGGCAATGTCGAACATAGTGGGATTTCCAACAAGGAAGATTAAAGAAAATTGATATTTTCTTGTAACAATTAGTATAACCTACATCTTTCCGCTTTCCAGTTATCTCCCCCCACTCATAGTTTATGGACTCGACTTCTTTCCATACTTGCTCCCTAGTTAGAGGCATTGGTGTTGGGTCAAGTTCTTCCTTACCATTAAATTCTTCAGTTAGTTTTCTGTAAGGATGATAACGTGATAAGAATCTTCGATGCCCAGTGAATGCCATTTTATTTCCATGTTCCAACCTTTTCGTATATGTCTTGTCACCACATATTGGACATGCATAATACCCTTTCATAGTGCACCCAGACAAGTTACCATATGCCGGAAAATCATTGATTGTCCAGAAGAGGATAGCTCTCAAAGTGAATGACTCTTGCCGAAAAGCATCATAGACTCCCTCCACCCCATCCCATAGTAAGGCTAAATCATCAACTAATGGTTCCAAGTAGATGTTTATATCATTGCCAGGTTGTTTAGGGCTAGAAATTAACAATGTTAACATCATAAACTTCCTCTTCATGCACAACTCTGGAGGAAGGTTATATGTCACCAAAATCACTGGCCAACAATTATATCTACTACTAAGTGAACTATATGGATTGATTTCATACGAAGAAAGAGCTAACCTAAGGTTTCTTGGCTTACTCCCAAAACCTAGCCACTTATATTCAATCATCTTCCACGATGGAGAACCAGCTGGATGACGCAATCAACCATCCTTTATTCGAGCTTCATTATGCCAAGTTAAACTTTTAGATGTTTCCAAGGACTTAAACATACATTTAAACTTGGGGACAGGAGGAAAGTACTGTAAAACCTTTGTCGGGACCCCTTTCTTCACTACGTTCTTCTTTGTCACCTTCCATCTTGAAAGGCCACATTTAGGGCAGCTTGTCAAATCATGATACTTCTTCCTATACAAAATGCAATCATTAGAGCATGCATGTATCTTCTCATGAAACAATGCATTCAACATCTTCTTTGCCTCATGCATAAGGGTAGCTCTTGACCGATCAGGAGTAAATCACCAACTTCGATCATCATATCTGTGAAACAATTGTCGGCCATGCCAGCCATCCCTTGCTTTAAGATTGTACAACTTAACCAATCCTGATAACTTGGTGTGCTTATGACACCCAGGATAAAGAGGCTTCCCGGCTTCCTCCACAAACTTCTTAAATTCCTCTGGATTTTCAGTGAAGTGTTCTTGTGCACCTTCGCACATGTCAACCGTTTCACCAAAAAAATCACATTCCGGTTGTGGTTCTTGATTTACAATTTCACTAGCATTTATTTCAATAGGCTTGGCATGCCATATCCAATCCTTGTATGTTTGGTCCAAACCATTAAAATACATATGCTCTCTTATTACTCTAATCGTAAAGTTTCTTGTATTCCCACATTTCTGGCATGGACAAAGAATACGTCCATGATCAATAGCATTTGCTAATGCCATCCTTAGAAATTCTTCAACTCCCTCTTCATACTCTTTACTTCTCCTATCGGCAAGCATCCAAGATGTTTCCATAATTGCTTAACCCATCATTTTTACCAATACACAATTAAGTTAGAGGAAACACTAGTTTATATTCAAAACAAAGAGGTTAGCAGCCAATTGCATGCAATTCAGCTCAATTGCAATGATGTTACATGAATTACATACCACATGGTGCTGCTATGGATATTCATAGTTTCTAACCTTATATTTAATGCCTCTAAATCAAGAAAAAGGCATGCACATAGGAAGGAAAAGGAATAGCGAATGTGTCACCTTTTGGTGGGTTTGGATGGTAGGCTACAATAGAATTAGGGGCTACTCTTAAGTGTTTTTTTAATTATAAAGTTAATCTGATCCGAAAGTAATGATTAATTGGCTAAAACAAGCATAATCTAATAAGGTAAGTTGGTTACCTTGGATTTGTACTAAATAATTTATTTAGAGCTTGAATTTTGGCTTTTAATATTGGTGGCTGAACCTAAAATAGAATAATGGGCTCAAAATCTTTGAAAACTATACTATTGTGATGCATCACAATATTTCCCACAGTTGCCAACAAAGAACCAAAGTTTTTTTTACAACTCTCAAAGACCAAACCAGAGTATTCAAATAGTTTTAAACAGAATGGTATCCAAATAGAAATAATAAAAGCATAAATGGAAGCATACGAAACTCAGAACTCAAATAGTGGGAAACAAGATTGAAGAGGAAGATGTTTTGTCTTACCTGTAGTTATCAAGATTCAGTATAGGCAGAGATAAGAGACTCCACCAAAGGCAGCTGCGTGAACTCCAAAGGGAATGCAAAATTTGGACTTTAACTGACCTCCAAATGAGTTGTTGAAGGTTATTGTGGTGCCCTTACCCAGTCTCTGAAAGAAGGCACCCATTTTTAGTAAACAATGTCAAAAAACCACAACCCTTAACAAACTGAAAAATAAGCTTCAAATTGCAACATGCAACATCTATGAAAAATAATAGAACTCAGATGAAGAATAATCAAACCCTAAACTTAAAAATTATATGCATAACAAATTACCCAAATCAAAAAATGCCGTGTATAGATCTGCCAAATTATAACTTTAACTTTACTAAAATTTAGAAAATAGAAAGTGATTCACAACACAGAGAACATGAGCAATCTCATAGCCATAACAAAGAACAAGGCTAGCTCTCAACATCTAGAAAAATTGATCCCGGAAAGTAGCAGAAATTCCACACACAGAAAAACGCAAATATGGGATTAGATCGACAAATAAAAAAACTACGGTAAAATTAGCTTAAAATGTAGCATAAAGTGTACAAAACGACAATATCAGAATTGTAAAAGCAAGCATGTACCGGTAAAGGATCGGAGTTACGAACCCTAGTTAAAGAAGAAGCGTCGAGAGGAAGGAAGGAGACGACCGACGAGCACATATCTCAAAATGAAGAGGAGGCAGCCAGAGTGACTGTCTGTGATGGGATGACAGAGTGATGACAGAGTGACGGTGATTGTGGGTATAGCGAGAGAAGGTTTAGGGTGAATGAGGGTATCGCGAGAAAGAATAGAGGGAGTTTGATGGTGAGAAGATGGTAGCTCACTGTCGTCTATAGGTATCGAGAGAGGAAATTTTTTGGTGAGAAGGGGGGAATCTGAAATATTCACAAGGGACTGAAATTTTTTAGGGAAAAATCACTGTAGCGGTCAACTGTAGCCTTTTGGCATCGGAGCTAAATTGGCGCTTAAATTTATTTTTCACCCAACAATTTTACGCATCAGTATATATCTATTATAGATGCTAAGTATAATCAATGGCATCGGTAGTAAAAACCAAATATTTGTGCTGATGCCTTTATATACTTTTAGTCTTATTATTTATAAAACCGATGCGTAATATACTAACAGCATCAGTATTTCATTTCTCCCCCTAAATATTTGTGTTGATGCCTATGTAGTGTTGCGGAAAGTGAAATTTGGCATAGTGGTGGCATTGGATTTTCTAGCGTGTGAGCTCACTTGAATACTGGTTACTTTACCACACGTGGCATTGGATTATTCTGGCGTGTGGTAAAGGATCCAGATATATTGAATACTGTTACTTTATTACACGTGGCGTTGAACTCTCCGGCATGTAGTAAAGTAACAGGCAGAGGAAAATGGATTATTATATTATATCGGGAAGAAGGAGTAATGTTTAAAGAATTAGACTGCATATTGTGATTTTATTAAGAAGGAAAAGATGATCCTAAAATTAACTTGTTGATATTACTGAAAATAATTGTATGTTACCTGATTCATCATTATTGATCGAAGAGCTACGTGTGGCTTGATCCCTCAATAAGGGTACGTATGTAGCTTGAGGTCTCACCCAGGTGCAACCGCAAGATAAACCATATTATTGGACTTTAATTTGGTTTGTGGTTGTGACAGGGGCGAAAACCTGTTTTGGATTGATGAATGATTGTGGATCGAGTCTTTACAACTACTTACGATTGTGCTTGCTGAGGTTTGGGAATTTTGAACTACATTTTAACAGGTTGAAAATTTTGGTTAAGTCCATTTTCAGGGGAGACTTTGCCGAAATTTCAGGAGAGAGGCTAGGATGTTAGCAAGTGGGCCGACATCAGTTGGATGTCGGAAAAACCAAAGGATCCATCACGGATTCTGAGGAATTGGGGCAGGTCCTGTCATCATGCATTCACAATAGGATTCCTAGTTGAAGTTATTTTAAATGTCATTGTGATTTAAGTTAAAATATTAGTGTTTCCCATAATGACATGCACTGTGCTCATCTCCTAATTAGCTTGTTTTAGGTGATAATAATTTCTTCATAAAAGTGACTGTTTGGTGTCATCACTTAGAGTCCATATTGAATCAAAACTAATATCCATAATTGAATAGTATTTGGTCTCCATTTTTGACGTCTTTCGTTAGAGTCCGTGTTGGATTAAATTTTAGAGTCATAATTGTAGAGTGCTTGTGGACTCTTTGGTCTCGGTCTGACTAGGAGAGTGAGCTTTAAATAAAAGAAGTGTGACTCTCTTTTGAGAAGACACAGCTTTCGACATATTGTTTTTGAGCATGTTGAATTTTTAAGAGAAATCTACTATGCATATTTTTCAAATAAGTCATCAATAGTTCCTTATTTACTTGGTGATTTATTAAATCCTTTCATCTTCAGTTGAGGGCACTAGGACCGTTGTGGCGTTCATCTTCCTGCGAGCTTGAAGCAATCGTGATCAGTATTGCATTCAACATAAGGAGTGTTGAATCATCCCGTGACAAAAGTTGAGTTACCAAGAAGTTGGTAAACTTTATCTAGATTGCATCTAGGATAAGTGTGTGAGTACTTCTTGTAATCTTCATTCTATATTGGATTTGTTTTGGACTAAGGAGTCCCGTGGATTTTCCCCAAAGTTGTACCATGTAAAATAAATATCTCTGTGTTCATTTACTTTAAACTCTGCACATTTCAAGATTGATAAACCATATCAATTCTGCTTTGAGAGTCTATTTTTATTTATTGTTAATAATCTCGAATTAGCCTATTCACCGCCCGTTTAGGTTTTTTTAGTCATCCTAGAGGTAATTTCAAAATTGATATGATTTACAAAGTATTTGAATATCTACAACAAATTCAAGTTAGGCAAGGTTGAGATTAATGCATTTTTAGGGTTTGTTATGCCTGCAAACTGTTATATGTGTGGCTTCACAGAGCTTCTCATTAGTTTTTGTTAAGATCTTATGCTTCTCTGCAATTTTTTATTTTTTATGAACTGTGGTTCTATTTCTCCCCACTCTACTGCTCAATCTGATAGGCTTAATGCCATGTGGCTATATATATGGATAGATTATGTAGATAATGCATATTATGCCAACATCCTCAATGGAAAGGTGGACCCCAATGATCCATTTTTAACATTTGGTTACATGCCTACTACTCAAAATGAAGGTGACAATGAAGTGCCTCAAGTGACTATTCTAACTGGATCAACCACCAAGAAACAACAAAGAGCTAAGAATTTTGTTGTTGAAGAAGATATGCTTCTTGTGTCTGCATGGCTCAATGTTAGCTTAGATAGAGTGCATGGCAATGAGCAAAAGAGTTCTACCTACTAGAATAGAATTCATGAGTACGGGATACTTCTGAATGCACTTTCCAATTCTGTGAATACATGGCCAAGATTGAAGGGAGGTCTCATAGTGGTGTGAGTTAACAAGACAGGGTAATATTCCTGCCAAAATTACTAATTTACAAACTGTTTCATGATTTGTGTTTTTACAAACTGGTTGATTGATTATTAAAATACTGTTCAGATCTTGCGAGCAAAAGAAATGTATCAACAACTCATGGGATCTGCATTGCGTATGAGCATTATTAGTATCTACTGAAGGATCAACCTAGATAGATTACTGAAACTTGCAAGAAAAAACCCAAGACAAATAAAAAGGCAAGCGTTGTATCTTCTTCTCCTTGCATTCCATAAGCAGTCAGTTTTGACAGGACCTGCCTTAGATTCCCCTTCGAAATTCGTGATGAACCCTGCTTCCCGTCCGACAACTAACCTATGACAGACCCTTTTACTAAAAAAGCTCTTTAACCCCAATTTAAAGGGACAAACAAGTCAACTACTGCCAAAATTTCGGTAGAATCTCCCCGGACTTTTCCCAAATTTTTCCACCTATCAAAAACAACAAAGTAAATAGGCCCAACAGCCAGAACACACAATGCTAAAGCGCACACCATAGATAAACTATTCGAATGGGATTAACGCCCTCTACCCGAAGTCAAATGAGTAAACAAATCAACTAAGGAATTAGTTTACAACCTGAGGAAAAAAAAAAGTAGAGAAAAGTAAGGGAAAATTCCTACAATAGCGGACAGCGGACAGCCGTGATGCCTCGACATGGTGGTCTTGACCTTGTAATCTAGGACCTAGGGGGTGCAAAATAGAAAATGTGAGTGGACAAAAAACAAACGTTAAACATAATTGATATTCAATATAAATAACCCCCTCTGTTTTATAAAATATTGTCAAAAAACTATA